TTCTTTGAAGGAATAAACAAAATTGATAAACCCTTAGCCAACCTTATCAGAAAAAGGAAAGAAAAGGCCCAAATCCATGCAATTAGGAAAGAAAAGGGTGAAATTACAACAGACCCAGCAGAAATCCAGAGGATCATCAATACCTACTTCGAGAACCTATACACCAATAAGATGAAAAACAGAGAAGAAATGGAAAGATTCCTAGATACATATGAATTGCCAAAGCTGAACAAAGAAGACCTAAAAATTTTAGATGACCCAATATCAATCAATGAAATTGAAAAAGTAATTAAAAACTTACCAACTAAGAAAAGCCCAGGTCCTGATGGCTTCACTGTTGAATTTTACAAGACATTTATAGAGGAACTACTGCCACTACTGTTTAAACTCTTCAATGAAATTGAAAGAGAAGCAATACTCCGAATTCATTCCTGGAAGCAAGCATCACCTTGATCCCCAAAGCAGAGAAAGACCCAATCAAAAAAGAGAGCTATTGGCCAATCTCACTAATGAACACAGATGCAAAAATCCTTACTAAGGTACTGTCAAGTAGAATGCAGAAGATCATCAAGAAGATCATACACCCTGACCCAGTGGGATGCATCCCAGGGATGCAGGGATGGTTCAACATACACAAATCAATCAATGTAATACACTATATCAATAGACCCAGGGACAAAAACCATATGATAATCTCAATAGACGCAGAAAAAGCATGAGACAAATTCCAACATGCATTTATGATTAAAACCCTGCAAAAAATTGGAATAGATGTTCTCTACCTCAATCTGTTAAAAGCTATCTATCAAAAAACAACAGCAAGTATCATACTAAATGGTCAAAAACTGAAATCCTTCACACTAAAATCAGGAAAATAAAAGGATATCCACTATCACCATTCCTGCTCAACATAGTTTTGGAAACATTAGCCATGGCAATTAGACAAGAGAAAAAAATAAAAGGAATAAACATAGGAAATGAAGAAGTCAAATTGTCATTATTTGCAGACGACATGATACTCTATAAACAAGACCCCAAAAACCCCACCAAAAGTCTTCTAGACTTAATAACCAAATTCAATA